GACCCACCAAAACACACAACAGCAAAACAACGGTGACAACAGTAAGAAGAAGTGAACCCCTGAAATTTCCTGAGGAAACAAAGGCCGAGGAATCTGTGGGCCCATGCTCCATATCGAACTTACTGATTTTGCGCTGTGATCAAATAATGGGGGTTTACATCTAAGGGTAGGTGACGTGAAAAATTAGCTAGATGAAAACTAACTTTCCTGGGGCAGAGTTACCTAAGGAGCCCCAATGGGGTTGTCTGCCGTAGGTGCCACAGATGGGGACGAAGGAGGTGGAGATCTGGAAAAAAACACCTGATGGTCCTCAAGACAACTGTCAATTTCCTACGACACGGAGCATCTTTAACCCCTAGTTCAACAAACGTCGTGATCTTAATCTGTCTGACTATAACCGACCGACACAGAAATAACTGCTTGATATCAAGGAACCATTTCAGGGTTTAAACTTGAACATAAAAAACGTTATGATATGTAAAAAAGGCATATTTATAATGTCCCAAAGTCAATAGATATCAAAAACTTGCTATACAATCGAAGCGATCTTGTCATGTACTGACACGCTCTAGAGGAATTTAATGTTCACGCCAACTGAAGTAAGGCACGACACACTGCACGACGGTCCACGGCCTGCGTGTTCAGCGAGCAGCCAACGACGAATCCACTAATCACGAGTGACGGGGCGACATCATTATATCAACGGAGCTATACAGCACACATTTTGCCAAAACACTTAAAACTACATACTAATGCGTACAGAAATAAGCAATGAATACGTTTGTTGGAGCTTCATGCTATGATGTAGTCTGCTTTCATAAATATGAGCATGTGAAGCTGACGGCGTGATTTTTAGGAGAACTTCATTCTTGACCCGGTGGAGTCATCTATTAAGCTACCATCACACAAATTATTCTTAATCGCAAGATTGCCTTAAGGGCTTGATGTCCTTTTGTGGTCTCTATCATTTCTAATATGAAAAATGGAAGTTTAGTTAGTTAGCTGGTTTAGAAAAGTGAAAACAAAGTGTCACGATGAGCAGCCAGCATACCATGGTGACCGTCCATGACCATGAAGTGATTTCTGTTTAAAGCAAGCAGGGGTGGTAAAATGCATTATTTGTCGCCGACCGAATTTCTGCGGACAATATTGTCAAAAGCAGCGTAACACGATAATACATGACGAGAAATGACAGTGAGATTTTAACATGACATCAAAAACCGATCATACTTCAAACCATCAAGCGTAATCAAGGCTACAGAGAACCTAGACACCAATGGCTACATCCTTCTTCACCGATATCTGAATCATGCCTACGCATGCACAGAGCATGGGCACCACATACCGTCAAGCCCGAGAGACCCAGAGATTCCAGCCATTTGCATGCGTCAAGTTTGGTTGGTTTACAAAATGTATCACAATCTATAGCTCTGTACCAACTGCAAGGTTTTCACGCATCCCCAATTTTTGGGTCACACCACGCAAACACCACACCAGGTTAGCAAAGCCTTGTACATAATTTTACTGTACGTATTATTTTTACCCGAAGAAACTTTAACACTAAATTGCAACAGTCCCAAAATGTGGGAGTGAAAAATCCAAGAAATGCCTTCTTAACGAAGTCTAACACCTGAATATCACCATTTGCGCATTCATTTACTCATAATACCACCATTTTTATAGATTTTTTTGTCAAATGAGTCGATCACAATATTTGCCACAAAACTTCAGTCTTTACATTCGTCTACTTATTTTTGTTCTTCTTGTCTTATAGAAATGTGTAGCTACTTCATTTTCCTTCCTCTCCGATAATATTTAAATATGCCATCTATGTCTCAAATTGTTAGCCAATTTCTCACAACATATTACACCCGCAAACTTGCACATATTTCATGCATTAATGGGATTAATTTGCCAGCCGCTAAAAAATGTTTGATGTGCACCTAAGAGTGAACAATGCATGGAGAATGGTAGAGGCATTTTGAAACATGGAACTTTTATCGTCATTTTTGCCTTGTGAAATCCCCAATTAGCTGTTTTTGGGGGGGTCACCACGTGGCTCAGTTATGATTAATCTAAGCAATTCCACATTTTCTGCCTCACCACTTTACTTTATCCTGCCGTATATTGTTCTGGGACAGACCTGGTGCAGCTATACCAAACTGTTTGGTAGCGAAATTCCGCCCTTCGAAACTGTGTTCTCATGCAGATCTCCTCTTACTTATGTCAAATTTTAATCCTGTAGGCCGGTTGGAATGATTGATATTTATATTCTGTGAATGGGTTGGATGACCATGTCTGTCAGAAAACCATGTGAAAAATGTTGGTTTTTTGTGTGCGGAGGCAAAAGAAGCCTGCTCATAAGAAGCCATTAAGTTTCTCCTGTGAAGCACATAACTGCTGATCTCACTTGCTTTCAGCACATGATTTGTGACCAGATTTGGTCATTTTCTGTTTGATTTTGTGTTGCATAGTAATCACATTATGAAGTAGATATCAGTTTTCGGCACATAGTCAAACCATCCCATTTTAATGTCTGGAGCAAAGAGATGTTTATGAAGCATACCCATTATTGTCCTTCACCAATCAGAATAAGTTATTGAAAGTGATATGAGGGTTTTGATTTGTGTGTTGCGCACTTTTTCTGGTGTCAACTAGCTGAAACAAGTAAATCAAACTAGAACGGCGGTTGAAATCAGCCAAATATAAGCTTTGTCGTGTTTAAATCGCCACTGCTGCTGTCAAGAAATAAGTGAAGTGAGGTCAGATGATATTCAATATATGGACTACTCTCAGCTAGGTCAACTTGGTTTATTGTTTGGAAAGTGACAGAAGGAATTTTGAAAAAATAGGCGACTCAAAAATGCTGCTATGATGCAATTAGTTCGGTCACGATGAGATGGGGTAGGGCTTCTTCACGTTAGGCTCATATATCATTCATGGAAATAAGCATTAATATTTTGCAAGAAACAGTGATATGATATTTTTATTTCCTGGCCCCATCTTAACAGAAACCAGGGTGTGTCCGTTGGTGTGATTCGGTGATGTGTTGATGTGCATGATGCCAAGTTTTTTGTTTCAATAGTTAATGCTTGTCGATCTTTGTTCTTTTGTCGTTTGATTCCTTTGCCTTGTTTTGTAACAAAGATCATGTGGAAGAAAAATAAATATGCAACATCAAAACATCGGTGTTACATATTTTTTGGTGTCCATCACACTCTTATGAAATTAACATTCCTTGATGTATTGTGTTTCAGTGGAATGACCCAAAATCTTAAAAAAAACAAAAAATGTTCATTGCTTCATGGTCCCATAACGTCATCGTGCATTGCACAGCATTGAATGAGAGCCAGCTGACAGCTGTTGTATCTGAAAATTGTGCTCACGAACGCCAGATATGAACGCCTCAACAACTATGTTCTTTTTGGTCTTCATCGTCGTATGGCTTATGCAAAGGTAGGATTTTAATGGCGTTATTGTGACTATTCGCACTGTCTCTACCATGAGAAGAGAAACTACCTGCAGTCGACAGACAAACTTGGGGGAAGGGAGACCGTGAGGCTCATGGCTTGCTAACCCCTCTCTCTCGTCATGCATAAAAAGAGTGGCACCGCTGACATGACGTCACAACCAGACAATCTATATTGTTTTCTCCTACCAGTATGGGCTGCATTTAAGTTAGGTTGTCGTCCCTAGCAACGCGCACTTGATATAGTGATTATGTTAAGGTTTTCATCAGAAAAATATTTGTATTCAAGGTGAGGAAAAACAATAATGAAATACAATGAATTTGCATCCTTGCAAATGTCATGCTCAATTGCGCAAAGAAATCATGTATATCAATTATCACTGCAGAAGGATTCACTTGAGGCTTTTCCTGTTACAGTAGGGATGATATCATCAGCAAGTAGCCAAAATTGCTCTCAGGGGCAGCCAAATGTCAATTTTGACTTAACTCCTGTTACAGTAGCATTAAAATCCCATAAAACCACTTCCTAGTTCCAAGAGAATGTCTTGTTGGGGAGATAGTAAGAGAGCCTTCCCCCCTCCCCTTCTTCATTGCCTACATTTTCTGCAACTCCTTACTCCTTTCTTCACTGCCTCCTCATTGCTTACATAGCTGGCTGTCATATCAGCTTCCAGGGGGCAAGATTAGCACTGGGAAAATGTTGAAGGGGAATGGTTGTCACTTTAGTTCTAACAAAACATTAATTAAATAATTGCGTTTTAATTAAAGGTGCATTGTTGAAAGAGAAGTATGTTGGGGGGGGGGGAGGAACGGCTAAGCAGGGGAAAATCATGCAACCTTCCACCAAATATGTCTGTCCTTCCACATTTCTCACACTTCGTAAACTGGAGCGGGGGGCCTGGAGGCCTGCACTGAAGAAGACCTAGGTACAAAGCCTCATATAACTGGTACTCATGTACTGTAACTGGTACTCATGGTAACTGGTAACTCATGCAACTGGTAACCATCCTCAATCAGGATTAAAACAACAATGGCATGAATTAGCGCTTCAGAGACATTTTCACCTCCTGTCTTTCCCTTTCCTGAGAAGTGCCATCAGCTCCCAGCGCCAAACCCACAGTTCTCTTCGAAGGAAAGAAGGTTTGGTTGGTACTTGAGGCTGCTACGATGAGTCAGCGGCGAGTCAGCGTTTTCTGTTCTTTTTCTGTGCCTTAAAAAGCCAGTCTGAATAATCACAGCTCAAATTCTACATGATAGGATCATCCCACCGATTTCCCCGCACCGTCAATCAAGTCAACAAAGCCCAAGAATCAAATCTAGATTAATGAAACTGCAATGTGAATGTCGTTTGCGAAGCCCCAGTTTGAGGGAAAATATCCATCTATCTATAATAATACATCTTAGAGGGAAGACTGATGTATTCCAATCAATAACATAAGCAGATTAACAACGCAACAAGCCGTGTAGCCAGCTTGTTGCTTTCCCACGGAGTACACCGGCACATGCAACGCAGAAGTACAAACACCGCCTACATACTTAGCAATTTACGTTCTAAGACAATGATCGCCAATTGCACACCGTCGTAGCAAAGCAGCATAGAGCCTGTTTACGTAGACATCAGCTAGCACATGGGAGGGAAGTTGACCCCACCAATCGTGCACGCAACGCGGAGACTGACGCTGGCGCCAAACGTAGTGACAGTGCTGACGGAGGTGATGATGGTCGTGAATGTCGACCACGACGTAAGTAGCCGGTTCTCCCTGCCAGCAAACGAGGTCCGCCATTAGTGACAGGCACGCCTCCAACAGCACAGGTCTCTCAACCACATCGCTGTCTTCACACAATAATAATGAAATTGATCATCAGGACCTTTTCGGCAGTTCAGGACCACTCAGAGTTATTACAACCTTTTCTCAAACAATATGCCTCTCTTCGCAAGTCACGTGTCGTCTTAACACTCGCGCTGATGCGGGTCAATGCGACCCGTCCAAAGGTATGTGATGGTAGATCTCCGGATGTTATACAATCGCATCCAAACTTTCACTTGTTTATGTGGAATCCATTGTACGTGACCTGACACAAAAACGTGTCACTAAACTCTCTGGTTTCGAAGTAGAGACCTTTTAGGAGCGCTGCACGGCGACGAATTATCTGCACGGGCGGCGGGCGCCAACCAACGATGCGCGCGACAGGCCGGCATGGTTACGTTAAAACGGGTGTCACATTTATATGGGCTCTTTGAAGACCTTTTGGTACCGTTCACAATCCTGCCATTTTTAAGGCCTGAGGCCCTCTAGTTTCTGAGCTACATGCCAGCGAGAATTGGGAAAGGCATATCAAAAGCAGTATTTGAAAGTCACCTTGGCATAGACGCAGCCATAATAACGACATTAGAATCATGCCATTGCATAAGCCATGCGGCGATCAAGGTCAGGAAAAATATAATTGTCGAGGCGTTCACATCTGGCGTTTGCGAGCGGGATTTCCAGACATAACGTCTGGCAACTGACTCTCAGTCAATATTGTGTAAGGTTTGATGGCGATACCAAACCATGACACATTGAGGAACATATTTACTAAATAAAGAATTGTGCTGTCTAGAACACATTTTACCACTTCAAAATATACCATAAATTATAAGTGAGCTTATTTCATCAAACGTCATGCTTGCTTCGATATCTTCATATGTGAAATATTTCCGTTAACGAAGCCATGCATCATAAAGGCATGGCCAAAACACATAAAGTTATGCACCATTGTAATGATAGAATAGAGCAAGAAACACGCTTGCTTGGACACATATGCTACCAGGCCTGGTCTCGTATGCACGAGGTTGTAAAGTGGAACAAATGCAATTTGCGGGTATGTTTGACCTTTGACGTTTTGTAGCGGGGTCATTTGTTGATCTAGCAGCATAGACTTGTTACCAATCGTAACGTCTCCTCGGTACCAATCGGCTGATGTTTTCCGCTAAGCTCTATATTTTTTTCGTTTGCGAACGGCATGAGAGGGCCACATCAGCCCTCTATGAATCGACTTCATGAGACAGGCCGCGGCTCAAGGCAAAAGTTAAAGGCAAGATAATTCATGAAGTCGAGACAATATCGTCAATGATGATCCATCTCCATTGATACAGGGTTGCTCTAGAACATGTGAGTCCTAACGAGATTATCGGGGCCACTTCAGGGCGCAGCGAAGATTCCCACGCGACAGCGCGGTGGCCATTTGTTTACATTCGGAGCCCTTTTTGGGCTGCTGGTGAGTGCTTACTTATCAAAATTGTTATCTCTCCTATCCGCTTCTAATCTCATCGACGACCGGACTTCCTGTGTCAGCTCTGAGGGAACTGGTCTGTAAAAAGGAGGCCGCAGGTTATTTGAGCATGCCCATGCCCTTCCAACTTACACCTTTCAATGCACTGTGTCTGAGCGTGCAGACATTGCGAGATGTGCTGCACCTTAATTGCTAAGTGTCTAGCTAAGGCTAACGTAGCCTGCTTGGCGTTGGGCGCTGGGTAACAAATCATACACGGAGAATTCCAGTGCGTCGTGAAAGCAAAATGCTTTAGTAAAACGCGGCAAACAATGCAGTGACTTTTGGCAACAATGCGTTCCAACAACGAGTCAGTATAAAAAAACAACTGCAACACTGCAGGATTAGGACCAATGGTAAACGTGGCGTGGGAAAGGCACGCGTTGCAAAAGGAAGACACTCACAGGTCGTGACCGATTGGTAATACAGCAGTCCTCTTCTTTCGCCTCTTTCTCCTTCCGTTGCACAAAACTGTTCTGTTTATTGCTGAAAACCAGGGAAGGATATGAAGCTTCCTGCCACATCAGCCTCCCAGTTTGCTTTGACACTATGCTGCACTTATATCAGCGTCACCAGCCTGTTTTCGCGAACAGTTCAAACCAGGCATCGTGAAACCTGAGGACGGGGCGGAAACCGAGCGCTGGTGCTTGAGGCCGAGACCCGATACCACCCTTCCCGCATTAACACGCGGCCGGGTGGCCGGCTCGATACCCTTCGCACGGGGGTGGGATCAATTTGACCCCCTGATTTCTCGGGAACCAAGAAAGCAAGAGACACCACACTTACAGCGTGTGTTAACGTCTTCATGGTCAAAGTTTCAACTTACTTAACTCACTTAGGTCAACTCACTTAGGCCAAAGTTTCAGGTTCCTAGGTAATGATTGTTAGGCTAAATAACGTCAAGTTCAAATAAGGTCACATATAGGTTGAATAAGGTCACAAAGTCAAGTTCCAGGCTGGTCTCTAAAGTGCCCTCAGACCCTAGATAACTGTTTCTATGCAAACGGTCACGTACCCAACTAAGGCCGGTGACCTTGTTTGACCTTTTGAAGGTCATGGTGATAAAAACCATGCAAGACTGCTCTGAGTTTTGCTTTTGAATAAGCGACAAAGGTCACCCTAGGCAGTAAGTTTCCAAATACAAAGTTGACCTGGCTCATCTCATTTCAGTGACCTATTTTGACCTCTAAGAAGTCCATAGAAGATATATTATGCGGTTCCTGCTATCAATAAATCTGAAATGACCACCAGAAATTATCCCGTGCATTGCTAATCCCCCCCCCCCCCGAGCGCGTGTCAACACGCGCTCGGTTAATGGTCAAATTGACCCCCAAAGATTTTTCCAGGATGGTTTCCGAACGACGCGGCGTAGCCGCGCGAAATTTTACACAGCTGCAGACAATTGAATACCAGAACATCTGGAATCAACCATTTGGATACATATGGTGAGGTCGCTGACCTATCACAGGTCAAAGCCAGGCCATGGTTTCAGTGAAGACAATTTCAAGGGAATCGTTCGATCTGATCCAACGACGGAGTGTTACACGAAGCCATCCATCTCTAAGATACTTTCTTAGGCAACACAGCAATTAAGTGAACAAATTGTATTCACCTAAGGTCAGGTATGAAGGTCAAGCTAGGGTCATAACCAACCTGTTTTATTAACCTAGCGCTTTCTGTATAGGGTGCTCACTTCGAATGGGGTGCTCATATGCTCATTTCGAATTAATTGATAGCAGGAACTACGTTATACACCTTCCACAGACTTTCTAACGGTTAAAACAGGTCGATGACCTAGAATGACCCGGGTCAACCTTTTTTAGGAACATACGGTCTAACATAACCTTTTTCGCTTATCTAAACGCAACACTCAAAGCGGTCTTGTGTGATGTTGGTCAACATGACCTTAAAAAGGTCAAACAAGGTCACTGGCCTTAGGTGAGCATGTGACTATTTGCTTAGAACAGTTATCTAGGCTTTAAGGATCCTTTGGAGACCAACCTGGAATCTGACCTTGTTTAACCTTATTTGACCAAAAGGTCATGACCTAGGAACCTCAAACTGACCTAAATGAGTTCATGTGCAGGTCAACACACCCTGTGAGCTTGTTGCATCTAATTCTTTTAGTTCCTGAGATCTCAGGGTGGGGGTCAAATTGCCCCTCACCAGAGCGAAGGGTATCCAACCGGCCTCCCGGGCGCGTGTTAAATAAGTCTCAGTCTGAGGTCTTTGAATAACAGTCTGAATTCGATTTCATCGATTTCACGGCAAAGGTCTCCAGTTGTGTTCCAGAATATTCGGGCCGAGTCCTGAGTCCATGCACTCCACGGCATTGGAGTACACGCGTGAGCCCAAGTTGGCTGTGTTAATTTTAACATTCAGGATTGAGATCAGTCCCGATCTTGATATTTATGGCCGGTCAATCTTTGGCGCCCGACTCTGAAAAAGCACATTTTCTCTCCGGATATTCATATTTCTCTCATATTAAACTTCAAATGCATGTGGCTTCTTTGTTTTAACTCAGATTACGTGAGTACAAATATTTTAACACCATAGATAACAAATGAACTAGCCATCACCTGAATCTTATTGTCATGGGCTTAGATACTACACAAATATTGAGACATGGAAGCTAATGCCCAGCCCGCAAGGGCAGGTTAACCAACAGGCGTCCGATCCACACTGGAAGTCTAAAGGTGGGGTACACAGCTTTTGGGAAGCACACAGATAAGGCAGCGGTGGCGTGTGAAGAAGTGGCGCGACTTTGGCTACCATAATCATCAAACAAATCGAACTCTCATTTAATCCACTTAGATTGATAAAAATGATTTTATTCGTTAAGTTACTACGCTGCCCAAAGTCAATATTGCGCATTTTCCACCGCGGAAAACGTGATACATGCGATTCTGTCTTCACATAGTAATGCTTTTGTCGTCTGTTTCCAATGCACTGGCAATGGGCATCCGCTAGAAAAGCTCCTCCAAGTTAGCTCGCCAACGGTCAAGAGCTATGCCTCGTCAGTATTAAGAGAAGAGAACACATACATAACCTGCGGTCATAGAGTACTTACAAGTGATACGTGAGGGGATCTGGCAAATGCCATGCCCCGCGTGGAGCATTATTTTTGAACACGTAAGCCCAAACTTCCGTAAGCCCAAACAAAGATAATTGTGATGTGTTATCTGCATTTTTTTTGCGGAGCTGGGTGTGTTCATCTATAACTCCATTGTCCTGTTTTTTTTCTCCGAGGAATAAGGCCATTACTACTGTCTTATCTAAGTGAATAATGTTCCTCGCAAGTGCATTGAACAACTTACCTTATACCTATCACGCGCCGGTTTCCCAGGCTGAATTTCAGACTTTCGGAAAGAAGAAGCACCAGTTCTGCTCAGACACACGTGTATATACGTAGCGATGAATATACACTCGACAGGTAAATTGTCAGAGACACTATCGATTTGCCAGTATAGATGCGTCGGAGTCAGTTTAGAAAATCGTCTAAGCGTGCCCGCAGTCTCCGACTCTTGCACGCACCCTTTGCGCATGCAAAACGGTGTATAGCTGCAAGAGCTTGATAAATCTCGCCCGCGAGATGTTGAACCGTTCTGTCTGACTTGACAGTTGGTTCCGTGTTTGGTCACATTTACCGCTTTGCGGTCGAACTGCAGCGGCGTGACGTTTCGACTGTCATTCGCGCTATACGCTAATGCGCATGACGAGCTTCAAATTCCCATGCGTTGCGGATTTTTCCCATTGTTCGGAGGAGCTGGCGACGGCGCCGCACAGGCAACCTCGTCACGTCATAGCCATACGACGCCCACTCGTCTAGCTTACGGCAGAGCAGGGGTGGCCATTTTCTAGCGCACCCATTCAGTTCAACACCCTGCCCCGTGTTTCGACGAGTACCAAACCTTTCTTCACATGAAGACTTCTGAGATGCAACATGCGGTGGTTTTGAGGCGACAGTTCTTTATATGCCACTTCTAAAGAATTAATGCAAAGATCGCTTATGTCATGCACGCGGACAAAAAGGACGCCTGTGCTATCTTCACGCAGTCATCAGCGCGGCCAATAACCATCCAAGATAATTAGACGCTTGGTCCATCCAATGGGCTTAGAGACACGCTGGAGTGGTTGGGCAAAAACAATGCGCGAAAGCATTTATATACGTGAGCCGTCCATGCATGCTTGACCATTTGGGACCAGACGTAGCGGCTGGATAAGGGTTCACATCGCGTCAATGTTTCAATATCGTAATGACTGAAGCAACACTCCATAGCAAGACTATGCGCGTCAGTCTGCTGGTCCTAGGAGCACTCCTGGTGGTACGCGCCCTGGGTCACAACCCCGACCGAGGTGAGACCAGCCAGGGGTAAGACGATCTGTTTGGCAGACGTCAGTATGTAGGCGAGTCGTCTATTCAACGAACTGTGCCCTCAGTATGCAGTTTTGGGCAATTGGGGGATGGGACTACTGCAGTGCGGGATCCTCGGGGTGCTACCAAGATGCATTCTGCACGCAACACGTGTGCTGGCGTGATGGACGAACTCGCACGCGTTTAAGGAGGGTGAGATTGGCAAACTTTTGGGCACATCTAAGCGTTGGTTAATCGCTTGTGAAAAGGCTGGCTTTGGTCCCTCTTTTTTTAAACTCGTATGGCCATTGCATCCTGGCGGGTGACACCTAAACATGCTGCTGAAGACGTAAACAAACACGCGTTATGACAAGTAACGGTGCGATCCCAGAAATCCGTCACGTGGAAAAGGATCAAACTTAATTTGTTCCACACGAAGACCAGGTGCAAAAACTGTCACTTCCTTTTCTTAAAATGGCTTTTACATGCTCTTTTCACCCGAGAAGATCTCAGTTTACGCGACCTCACGATGCTTTCAGGGAATGGAAATGTCGCATTTTACACCACATTGATTTTGCTCATAGATGTCAACTTAATAGAATGCTTGTAACACGAATGTGTCTGCCACAGTTATATATGTAGAGGAAGGCCTTATAGGTGCCTTAACCATCGTTATCAGTCAGGATTGGTTAGTACGGGGCAGCCGAATAGGCCTTGCTTTCAGAGCCTTGTTACCACCTAGTGCCCATGCAGTTTGAAATGTGGTATGACGTAAAACAAGCGTTGATGTCGAAGATGCGTCATATGCAAGAGCACTTCACGGACTTAATTTTAAGGACCTTGTCCAGCCCAGTCCGGCTAGTCCAATCCAATCCGCTTTTCCAACATTTCTCAACCTAAACCGGGCCTGCCCGCCTTACAGAACAATACATGAAATGAATCCGTGCCAATCCGCTTTCGCATGAAACACTTTTTTAAAAATTTTAATGATAAATTTGGTTATCTCAGTATCTTGACTTAAAGAAGTATGTTTATTTCAATTGGGAAAAATGTGCAACAAGCTGTCATAAACCAGTGGGTATCGATATATTTTACACTGCATGTTGCCTGTTATGAATGCAATTTTGCATCGAGATAAGAAAAATCGAGTATCATGTCACAACTACTTTGGCCAAACATTCGCAGGTGCTAACGCATCGCAGGGGCAAAAATCGCTTATGTGTTAAATAGCCTAAAGGCATGAACCATACCATTCTTGAGTAATTTTAGACCCAATGTAAGATGTAACATACCTGCATATGCGGCTGCATATATATATATATATATATATATATATATATATATATATATATATATAACTGCGACCATTCTTTCCTGCTAGATTGCCGGCTTTGTGACCATCGTGCTCAACTGCCTGCTGCCTGCTGTACCTGCTATTTCATACAGGGGAATGAAACAGCTGCAACATTTTTAATCCTATTGCTGAAACGTCAGACGCCACCAAATCTCCCTTTTCTGCTCTTACTGGAATAAACAAAACTTTTTCAGTTGTAATGGCGTATCGTAAAGCTGCATGAAGTCAAATTTGCAGTCAAAAACAAAATTGTTGTGTATATTGACAATAGTACGTAACTTTGCTTCCGATCTATTTTCCATGCGCTAAAAGAGATACCATGATTGCTCTATTAGATACCGCAGCGTTTTAGTCAAAGTGTATAGCGTTCCTTGTGCGCTGGTAGTGCCTTGAACACAAATATAGAACCCTCTCATAGTCGCAAAACGTGGCATGAGAGCTAGGGAATATGTATGCTAGCCACATGCCAAGGGCTCTGGCGGCCGCACAAGCTACTCTAAATCTTACCAAATTTGCGCTATGAGGTGTGAATAGACGGTCTTGGGCGGCATGCTCACGTAACGTTAATGTCGCGTTAATATTTGTGACGTTGCGTTAGTGTGCTGGACCTAACTCACTGCGGGAGAATCGACGGTGTGCAAATGCAATATTGGCGCACCCTTTGCATAGTTTACGTCGGTGGGAGCAGAACAGATAAGACACAATTCAGTTCCTACCTAATTTCAAATGTCTTACTGGATGAGAGAGCACCTGACACACTTTTGGGGAGAAAGTTACCTTTGGGTCATGGCTGTAGAGGACACCATCGTATTTTTGAGATATATGAATTGGAGAGGGGTGCGAGCAAACAAGTAATGTGAGGATGCAACATTATTTGTGGTGTGAATTGTGGTGTCACCCACTGGGTTAAATGAGATTGCTGGCGAGGTCAGGAAGAATGGTAGCTATGCTACGATAAGATAAGTTAGTAGATGATTATATATTTTACTTACCTTGAAAGGAATGGGAGCTCCAGTTTTCCACGGCACATCTCAGTGGCACCCATTCAGATCAATTTGTCAAGGTGAGCTGTTAATCAGAAAATTTGCTTGTGAAATAGTTGGCTGCGTTATGTTGCATGTAGTCTGTGCATTGCTAGGAATTGAGAGTGCTGTATGATATTGATTGAAATATTCTTTTGGGAGTTGATGCCTTACGTAAGTTGTTCAGCGCATTAGCAATGAACATTAGTCACATAGATAAGACAATGGTATTGGCCTAATTTCTCGGGAAACGAGGAGAATGGAAATGTAGCTAGGTTGGCATTTCGCCAACATGCCTTTCTCGAAACAATAGCAGAAGCGAATTTCCTTCTAATTATGAAATATAACTATAATTAGTATATCTAGTTATGAAACAAATGTGAATTCACTTATGCTATTGTTTCGAGAAAGGCATGTTGCCGAAATATCAACCTAACCACATTTCCATTCTCCTGGTTTTTCCGAGGAATAAGGCTAAAGTATTGTCTTATCTATGAGGTGATACCTTCATTGAGCATTTGAGAAATAATGTAGCGACAATTTCATGAGACTGGCGCTACGTCCACTCAGTCCGTGCAAGCTTCTGAATTTGAAAACCCGGTCTGGTCCTCATTCATGTTTTCGTGGAAATGTTTGACATGCCCTAATCTGGCCTGCAGATTGATCCACAATTCGTGGATTGATTCATTCCATGAAGTGTTCTTTCGTACACGATCTGCACAGCTCCTACCGATTTTTTTTCGCTGCAATTATGTTTCCGCAGCAAAAACAGAACTTGCTTTTCCGCTGCAAAATTTACAATGACTTTCGGAGGCACGGTATTGCCCACTGAATACCATAATAGCTGTACTGAACTAATCGAAAACGAACGCCTAGCGTCCAACGACGGTTTGTTTTCTTACAAACTGTGGTGGCGTTACCTTGTGTTCGTCTCCTCTGCAAGGCTTACCACGACACGACTCACTAAGCAACGTGAATAGCGTCAAGGATCGCCGTGGTTCGCCAGTCTCCCAAGGTGTACCCAAGTGTACCCAAGGCCCGGAAGGCTCTTCAGCCAAGCTTCCAGGGGTCTCTGTAACGGCCTAGGCAGAAGCTGAGCTACAGCAGGACAGCAGTACAATGCTTAGCAAGACAGCACCTACGGCTGTATATGTCTGGGAGGTGCGGGAGCACCAGACCCTTTACAAGCTCGAGTGCGCCGCACAAGCTCGGTTGGGCGGCTGGTCCATCGCAGTGCAATGCCCCGACAAACTTCAGAAGTTACGGTCCTCCCATGGGGCGAATTTGCGCCTGGACGACTGCGTTCATACCCGTAATCACAGATTCTGGTCGGTGCAAAGCCGGACGCGGTCGACGGAGCTCCCTCCCCTAAACTGGTGAGCGTTCAGCCACAACGCTTTCAATGCTCACAAGTTTCAAAGCACACACGCGGCGGGGGAACTCAGGCAACGATCACCGTGAGAGTTCGCCGTATCAGGCCAGTGGCCTTAGGCCCAATGCTCTGGTGTGCATAAATCAAGCGTTTGCCAAGAATTGAACGAATTGTTATCGTGGATTTTGACCCCTTCGAAAGCACTGTAAACTCAGTTTTGCCAATGGGCGATAAGTGGCTGTTAACATGCATGTCATATCAATGCATTGTGGAAGCCCCAAATATAATTTACCAACTGGCAGTTCTTGGCCAGAAATGCAGAAAAAGGGCAGAAATGCTCGATCACGCCTGTATCGCGTAGTATTTGCATTTGTGACAGTTGGAATAATACCAACCTGGTGAATTGATTACTATTTATAAATTTCATTACCAAACATCCCTTTTATTTTCATAGGGTGCGATTTTGCTGGAACATACACTGTACTCAGCAACAGTGGGTACTGTCTGGAGACAGTGATAACATCTTGCCCTACAACACAAGGGTTCGTATACCTGCTGTGCTAACTGTTGTGTTTTTCAGAGAACAGACAGCTGGTTGCATTTGTGTTCACCTCAACTCACACCTCGCTCAGCATCACAACGACCACCAGCACCGTGCCTCGAATTTGCATCTTTGGTGAGACAGTGTGCATTTTCCTTGTGTGCCTGCCTGCTTACTGTGAGTGTTGGTCGGCTACTTCAGCGCATTATGCTCGCCAGCGCAGCCACATCTAGCGCGAGCTGTGGTCAGAGCAGTGACAGCAGCGCCGTCCACGTGACCGACACCCGACAGCCACCCACAATGGTTATCGGTCATTAAAACCTTTGTAATCAGAACACTGATAATTGGACAAGTAAGGAGACGTATTTGACTAAATATTTCGACCGAGACAAATGCTTATCAAGGTCACAGCTATAATATATATATATATATATATATATATATATATATATATATATATCCGCACCTTCCTCTATTTGTAGCAACACTGATACCCCTACCTCAGCTGCGAATCTCTCCGCTCTCCGGCTATGTCCCTCAGTGTAAAATAAACCGCTCTTGTTTTCTTTCCATGGTTCTTGGGATATTGAGTTTCCCAAACTAAATAAAGTGGATGAGTTAATTGCCTAGGGGTGCCGGCAGGGTAGTGATTGAGTTGCGAGAAAAGCGTAGTGTAGTGGTTAAGTCTGGGAAACCAGAGGAACGGGATTCGGTCCCTCGCGTTGCCCGTCGTTCCTACTAGGGCGACAGGCTGGCGGCATCACATAGCCTTGGCTGCTGAGTGCGTCGTATAGCCACAATGACAGCATATTTGATTGCCTGGTCAAACTCATCGAAGATCACTCTTGGATTTTCAATAACACATCTCCGATCATGTTTTTTATAGGTACAATGTTTGTGACGCTGAATATAAAGCTCACCGCCGACATTACCGTCGCTGCGTCCGCGCACGGATCGTAATTTGGCGCAGATGTTGTTCCCAGCTGACGCGCAGCGCCTGTTTCAGGACCGAACACACTAGCCACTTGTACGGGTCGCCGCAGGAGGAAGCGTCATCAGGAGGACAGGTGTGGTTTTCTGCCAGATTAGCTGATACGTTGTTTCGTCGGGCCGATTTAGGGGACGTTGCTCGGGAGTTGTTTATATGTGTAGGAAGCTGCGCATCGCGTCCGTGTAAGTTTGGTAGCTTTGCTTTTGCCAGTCGTTCCTTCTTACGCTGAAATGTTCCCTAAAAACTTTGGGTGTAAGCATAGACCCTGTATTATGGGCCGAGCATGGAGTTTATAGGAATCCATAGGACTCGTCTGGACCCTATGTGAAGAATTCACTGCTGCTGCGCGCCGGTATTAGGCCAATGCCTTGTGCAATGTCGCCAAAGCAAAGTGTTTAATTGCAATATTGCCCTATTCTTTACTTTGCTTTTGATTGATACCCTGGGTCTTGTAATTATAATTTTCACCTCAGTCCATAATACAAAGAGGTTGGGTGTTGTCAGCACGATATCTTTTAGTGTGCATCAAATGTGATTTTGAGCATCCATGTGCTGTGAGCATCAGCCCTGCCAAAGCCCACCGTCACGCTGTGCCACCGACCGCCGTGAGGTGCATGTCCCCTGACAGTGGGTGCCGCATATGCGTGCGGTGGATTCCAGCCCGGCCGGACAGCGCAGCGCCCTGCCAGCAGCGACGAGGTCGGCTCCCGTACTCCTGCCGTCCGTCGAGCCGGCCGGGGCGGCCACTGGCCCGCGCGCCGCTCGCTTCTTGGCCATCTCCTTCACCAGCCTGGTGACGGTCACGTCCACCACCACAAGCACCACGTTCACCACCAACACCTCCACCACCGTCTCCGTGTCGATCCTGTGCACGGCGGCGGGCATGAACCTCGAGACCATCTATTGTGCGAGCGGTTAGCAGTGCGCGATGGGCGGGCCTGGCCGAGCCGGGCGACATCGGACGACATAGCGCCGGCTGATCAGCTGAACTCAGCAAAGGTTCGCCTCGAGCCTCTGCCGAGCATCAGGTGCCGGCAGAGGCTCGCCCCCTGATGGTGCCAGCAGAGGCTCGTCTCCAGATGGTGCCAGCAGAGGCTCGCCCCAAGCCGGTGTCCGCAGAGGCTCGCCACAGCCTCTTGTTGGTGTCTGCAGAGACTCACACCCAGCTCGTGCCAGCAGAGCCTCGCCCCCAACTGGTGTCTGCAGAGGCTCGCCACCTGTTGGTGTCTGCAGAGGTGTCTTACATGCCGCCCCAGCGCGCTCTTTTTGTCTGTTTGTTTTTTTGCGTTTTTTTTTGTTGTTGTTTGTTTTGTTAAGGCGTACATTATCTTGTTACGTTTTGCCAACGCGTTCCAACATGACTTCTGTTTGCCTGTCGCCAGTATTTTAGTAACTTACGTCCGTCACCGGTGTCCCATTTGCCTTGTACTCCCCGTTTGGTTTTTTTTTTTGGCAATGTAGCGTTCCCAGAGACGTATTAGAGTTTTCATGACTTCCAGCGTTGCGTAAGTGCGTGCTTGCTTTCCCGGCATGCGGCCGATCCCAGCGCGGACTGCGATAACCAGTGACGCCGGGAGGGTGAGCCTCATTTGGGTGAGCAACCAGAAGTCACTTTGGGGGCTGGGGAGGGGTTCGGGGATTACGAGGGATGTTTCAAGAGCTGCGTGCTGTTATCAACCAGAGTGTCAGAGCAGCGGTGCGATCAGGTGGTATGTTGCATATTCTGATCTATCTTCTTTGGGTATGAACGTGATAAGGAAATGTGCCCTATTCACGAAGGCGTACAGCGCGAACTGTTAAAACGTTTTTTATTGCTTGTGTAAATGTTCTTAGATAATTCTGGACTCCTGGTTTAACAACGCGAAGGGATGAAAATTGGCCGGTTTCGCCGGGACGTGCTCCATTAATTGCCTGAGTATTGAAAAATGTTCGTGCGAACTTTGTTGGACAAATGCGTAGTCTAGTAGCCAGTTTCTCAACTCGGAATGGTGGAGAGTTTGTCGTAAATCGTACAAGTTAGCGTATAATCTGTAATAAAGTTTTTTCCAGGAGAGCATATGCAACTTACGGCTGCAATCGACGACACTAATAAATCACTGTAAAGGTACAACCTACGACAAAAGTGGATGCAACCAATCCTGCCTGGGTTTCTCAGACAAGCACTAGTAAACGACAGAGCTTATATTTGCTAAACCTGAGTAAATCGGTTTGCGCAACTCACGCAAACATCTGTATCCTAGATTGTGAAACGAAGCTTAGGATTGAAAATTGTTGAAGGTCAACTCCTGAAGAAGCGAGCCTAAATAACATGCAACAGCTGCAAAATGCATACAAGAATATCGCAATCCGGTGTGAGGAAGAAATCATGACGGCTTCAGCCAATCAGACAGCAAGCGATGATTGGAACATGCCAAGGTCAATAGGTATTGGCAAAACTGCTTGATCAATCATTTTTCTTTGCAAGATGTCAAAACGCGTTTTACTTGAACGGACATTGTGTGGCAAATACGGCACTTTTATGTGGTGTTCGGTGTTAACATAGGTTAAATTCCAGAAACAGTTACAAAGTAGCATGTGGGCATTGTCACTACCTGCCTGCCTGAGTGGAATGGGAATAGTGTACAATGAATGCTAAAATACGAGCATGGTATATCAAGGCGTTTTGTTCTGAATTTCTTTTAATTGGATAGCGCAGCTGAACAAAATTTGTGCATCACTAGACGGCCATCAGCCCACATGCAAGTCACAGGGTGGAAACCTGTCTCCCGTGATCAGAACATCAGGCTGACTATGATAAGATGCGTGAATGACACATTTTTAGCGTTCAATGACGGCTCTTTTTTAATTTTCATGTCTCCTTAGCTCTAAAATCTGAGATATGACTGTCTCTCATGTCATGTCCAACATATACTTCATAAGCACAGGCATTATGTTCTACAGGGCATCATCGTATTGTTCCCAAATACTGCGCAAAGAAAAACATGAAGCTCTTTTTGGGAAGAGAACTTTAGCTGATGCATATTGGATATAATTGGAGGGCTTAGCAATGATGACTGGTTAATTGGGGGTAGCTGCCTTCACCAAACATGTAAATTATGGACAGTCTTTTCGGCCATATCGCACTCCCAGTTCTGCACAACTCTGTACAAGTTCATACACCGCTAAAACACTTAGTACTCTGTCCATCACGAAGCACGTGAACTTACAAACACGGCGCGTCGATGACAAAAACAAAAACGCGCAGCGGTCAGAGCAACTAAATGATGTTGCCGTGCGGTAGGTCTGTACTGCCATGGGCGAGCCGGCGGGAAATGGCATGTCAAGAATTTTTCGCGGACGGTGTACTGTTTTCATGTCCTCCAGTTTTAGCAAACAGTCCCGATCATGCTCTTCCATTACTCACGTATCCTGATCAGCGTTGTTGTTTTCAATCAAAGCGTCATAATTGCAGCTAGAGAGAATTATCCATTCAATTGTAATCTGAAGTGACCGCTTTGATTTCGAGCCAGCCAAGTGAAGACCTAATGATCTGCTTTGTTTTTATTGTTGGTTACTTGAGTTAAGGTAACGCATGCTCAAAACCTTAAGACGCATGTTTATGGCTGTCAATATTGCGTTCGGTTTGGCGGTCGTTATCATGTCCACGAGACATATAAATTTTTGCCACAGCAAAATGTAGGTACTACGTCCTCAGGCCATGGAATGGCGTTGAGAGACAGTTAATAGAGTCGGGTAGGTGCAATTAAGGTGCAATCAAGGTGCAATTGATAGAGTCGAAAGTACCCCTTAAAGTAAGTGTTCCTCAGTTGCATAGGGTTTTGAACTGAGGCAGCAATCTTGAAGATCATTCGGTACAGTTCACAGTCTTGTCCCTTCTAACACCTAAACCCTTCTAGTTTCTGATGTTGACAATAAACAGCTTCAATTTCTACACTTCCTTTTTCAATTGCTCAACTGTAAAAGATCCTTGATTTTGGTGATGGCAGGGTGATATCAGGCGTGTGTGGCCGGCCACCTTGATTTATGGAATATGCTAATGGCTTATATAACCATAGCACAGTACCATAATAATATATAATAGCTTATGGCCACTTTGTTCATGGTATTCTCCGAGGAATACGGCTAATACTACTGTCTGAACCATTAATTTAGTTGCGCAACTATCGGCTTTCTCGCAAGAACTGCTTTATCAAAACAATAGCAGGAGTGAATTCGGGGTTTCCGACCGGCACACCTTAACACACACGCCTGAACGTGAAATCATAATGATGTCTCCATCCTCCTGGCATTATCCGAGGAATAAGGCTAGCGCTACTGTCTGACCTACCAACTTAATTGCACAATTATCAGCTTTCTCATAAAAACTGTTTCTGTCCTACAAATAGCTCTCTGATGCATGGCCACGGATGCCATCAGCCCGCAACATTTGAGTGAGAAAAGCTGGTCCGATGTCACAGCCTGGTGATCGGCCTCAGTGTGTCGCGGGCGACGCCGCACCTCGAAACGTGCCATGCCGCCCGCGCACGTGCGTTGTTTCCTTTCTAAACACGTTCCAAAAATTTCTTCAGCATTTGTGGCATAGGCAATGCATAGAGGAGGTTCAAATGCAGCGTTAGATCCTAGTCCATTTGAAATTGTCTGCGGTGCAGAAAAACGTGGCCTAGATATCTATTGTGAAAGTGGCGGGGCCGCCGGACCTGCGCAGGTGTGCCGGCCGGCCAAGGTACCGCTCAGGCGGCGCGCACCTCGCTCAGATCTCACATACCTGAAAGGGCGGTCTGAATGGTATAAATACAATACAATTGCCGGCCGGCACACCGGCCGGCTGACAATTTTAATTCACTTCTGCTGTTGTTTCGATAAAGACATGTTGCCAAAATACCAATCCAACCATATCTCCATTCTCCTGGTTTTCTCCGAGGAATAAGACTAATACTGTTGTCCGATCTATGTGAATAATATTCCTCGCTAATGCATTGAACAACTTGCTAAATTGGTAGGCATGAAATACTTTAAACAACCGTTCATGGATTTGTATAGAATGTGAATTTTCTTTATGCAACGCCATTTACTGCTCCTGCATTAACTGTTCTCAAATCCAACGAAACATTGAGTTCAACCTTGAAAAAACAGCATTGAGGGGCGCTTTGTTTGCCAATGCATGCTTGTCTTTCCAACGCTCTTTCCAGTGTATGCTGCGTGGAAGAAGCGCCATTGTACTTCTTCCACGCATTATTGTGCTATTGTACCTATCGAAATATGTGCGCAAACGAAAGTTTGCACTTGGTTAAGAATAACCAATGCATCAGATTAGATCGTGGGGCCTGGCAGTTAAGTATAAGCTCCGATGTAATAATATCGGTCACTCTGGTTCTGTGTAATGTGAGGTTAACATATTCCCAACAATTTATTTCCGACATAATAACCTTAACGATATAACACCGTATTTTGATAGCTTTTCAGGCGATCAAGGGTCTTGTAGAGTTGAGCAATTCGAAAACCAAGAAGAAAGAAAGAAGGAAAGAGTAACTGTAAATAGCCCAATCCCCAAGTGTTGTAACTACTTCAAGCGAACTTTAATGCAATGCTAAAATAGTACATTTGGCTAAAGCCCTAATACTCCCAAAAACCTAAATGGAAAGAGTGAGAGAGAGTTGTCAATTAGATGCAGAGAGCACTTATGTATTCGTATATTTTAGGGGTGTATAGTTGCATGTATATGGCCGTGGCGGCGCACAAAAGCAGTGAAAGACACAACTAGGCGTGATGTGGTGTGCGGCGTGACGTAAGTATAGGTGCGACGCGCTTACCTGCAGAGGCCATATGGCGACACCTGCTTCTCACGCTGGACGGAAGGGTGGGCACCGCGGGGAATCGGGCCCGGTGCTTATGATTTCCCAGATTCAAAGATGAAGTACTGCCCTACCGCCAAACGACGCACACGTATACAGCCGCTTTTCATAAGGAATAGCACAGGCAGCCACTAAAGTCATCCACATTGGAGGTGCCTGCTGGTCTTTGCAACGTTATATATATATATATATATATATATATATATATATATATGTATATATATACATATATATATATATATATATATATATATATATGTATATATATATACATATATACGTATATATATATATATATATACAATGTTTAATGGCGCTTTCATTATCAGCGGCTCAGATCCCATTCGGTATGGTTCGCAAGTGCGACCTCATGCGACATAGGCATAGACACGACTCATTCGGACTCACTCAGCAATTTTTCCATGAGTCTGTTCCCTGTTATCCCGGTGCCATTCATATTCGCCATGCTGTTGATAAGCGCACCACTTCAAAAAAATATACTTGCTTTCATCAGACACGCGATAGTCACACATAATTTATGCAAGTCTAGTTACGAAGATGAGTTAAACTACTGGACGACCTCCCTAAATACCCCTCTTTTTAGCCGCCATTGACATTGTTGGATCGTTAAATCGTGATGGCTTGCCTTGAGAGGGCTTTTAAAACTATCTGAAACGGTGCAGGAGCGGCACATAGAACCCACGAGTGGCTGTTTAAATTCAAGCGCACGTGCAGGAATGC